TTAGTTTTGGACGTTCAAATGTAAAAAAAAATATGTTGCAGGATAAACAAAAGACATGATAACTCTCTTGAAATATAAGCGAAATTTGGGCTCGGGTCGAAAACGTAAGAGGGCTCGGCAAGCCTCCATCACGTTTTCTTAATTTCGCCCAATTATCGCTTAAATTTCAAGACAGAAACCATGTATTTTATATATATTTCACGGCCGTAGGCTAGCCTGGTTCCCTGTCCCTGTTATTCTACGTATACTCTGCGTCACTGCCTTGCCAAGGATCAGAAAGGGGACCAGCCTAGGCCGTCGGCAAACTTTTCATCTACCTCTTCGGATACTAGTACTTAGTGCATTTTCTCGCAATATTTATCGTTCGTTGAAAGAAAACTCCCGAGAGTAGTAGTCGTCGCAGTAGCCTAGTTTACATAACAAAATTGATAAGTATTGTCAAAGGGTTTTAGTACTTTGCGTTAAAAATTAAAGTCAATTGAGAGCGTTGTGGAATGGAATTTAAAAGTTAATGTTTATTTCAAAGGCTTTGCTTCCTTCGTTATATAAACAAGTCATTGCATGAAAGTTCGGGAAACATGAAGACTTATTTAGCCAAGAAGACCTCGGGGAATATGATTTTTCTTGGCCGAATAAGTCTTCATATTTCCCTCACTATCATGCCATAAATGTATAATATCCTATAAAGTCTTTGTGTGAAAATTTTGTAAATCATATTTTCTTTTTAGAAAAATGATTTTTCTTTTTAATTTCATGAAGAAAATAGAAAACCTTGATTTTATGAAAAAAAGAAAACCTTTATGATAAAATTAACGGGAAATATGAAGTTTTGTTTTAATTAATTTTCGTACGCTTGTGTCATAAACATTGATCTTTCCGCACTTAAGGAAAAGGGTAAACATGTAAATAAGCACTGATGAACATCTGAATATAAAACTATTGTTTGGAAAGTATTCTGTTTTGATAAGTAACAACGTACACTGATTTGATATTTTCTTCTTGATTCCATCATTGCCTCCCAACTCCTTATCAGTCAACAACAAACACATAATAGAACAGTGTAGAACTTAAGAATAGCTTATAATTAAATCTACTGATCAGTAAGCAAATATAGGTACAAATACATTGATTTTTTTCTTATCGAGAAAATACAATAAATGTTAAACAAGCATAATTTAAACATACTTTCCTGGTGTAAACAACTTTCTTTGCTGAATTTTATCTTATATTTTTGCACTTATATCAGCATATTAATTATTGAGGTATTTTTTCATAAATGAAACATGTGAAACTGCTATGAATTATCAACCAATGGAATAGTACGTATTCTTATATTAACAAACTATATATATATATATATATATATATATATATATATATATATATATATATATATATATATATATATATATATATATATATATATATATATATATATATATAATTCAAATAAAACTATCATTAATGATGTATTAATTTTTGTTTTGTATATTGTAAACAATAGAACTGATTAAGTGCCTTTGTTACCTTCTTTTTTACTTTTTGACTGGACACATCTTTTGGGGTTCCAATAGTAAAAAACAAATACTGTCATTTTTTTTCTATAATTGAAGGGTTCAACTCTCTTATCGGCAACTCCTCCTTTACCACTGTATAAAATTTAATGGTACTTTCACAGATTCTATATTACATCGTGCCATTGTGCACCTCCTATAAAACTTTTCTGATCTGACATACGGAGTTTATATCTCTCAGTTGATTACATACTCAAGATCGATACAATAATCTTGTGAGAATGCATTTTATCATTACGTACAATTTATCATTCATTCGAATGCTGAGTGACGTTATTCATAACAATTGTCAGATCATTTTTTCACACTGAATTGTTTGCGGATTTTCCTGTCATCTTTGATCATTACAAGAAGTATACACAGAGGGTGTGACTGGTCGGCAAAAAATGACCATTCCTCTCTTACACCTGATCGCTCTAAATGTGTTCGAGGTCCGCCTTTTGTTCTCATCCTGATTTTTTATTGGAGTTTGAGCTTGAATTATGTTCGTTATCTCCAAATATTTTACTATACATTTTCTTTTATTCATATACGTTTCTCTTTTTGTTTACTGCTACCAAAAGAGTCTTGTTATGGGAATTTATTTTATATTACATTATCAGATGAGACTAAGAATGTGCGTATTTTTATTCTTTACCAAGTTGTTTAACCTTTTTTATTTTCCTTACAATTAATGTTCATTGTACAAAATATTTCTACCAAAACTATTTTTGTATAAAAAAAATACACGGGCTCATAATTCTACCGGGTCACTTTTCTACAACCCACACAACCCACACGGAGAAAAATGACCCAAACTCTATGATTTCTTCAAAACATGGGTCATTTTTCTCGTCTCGTTTAAAATAATTATTTCTTAAGTTCTATGGTCGATAAAATGACTGTCCGGTAAAATCGTGGACAAAGCATTTTTCTCGAAAAGTTATGGGCGCACTAAGATGAAATTTTCAGTAGTGTTTATTTATCATATTTAAGTGCATCATAATTTTTGATAAAATATACACAAAAATGAAGATTTTATTATGCTTGATTGTGCACAGTGTACGGTCCTACGGCGCTCGGTAAAAAAGGTTATAGTAGTATATACACAAGTATTAATTCCAAATAAAAGTTTTAAATACATGTACGTAAGATTGGGATAAAAATTATCCTTATTCGATTCTACAATCAATTTTCTCGTCTTTGTATAAGTTATTCTAGGCATTTGCTTAATTTTTGGAAGTTTCCCGAATATTGCAAATGGGAAATTGGTAAACACAACATACAAAAAATGATGACGTTTAATGACGTTATGGCGCAGCGGAGAGCAGTTCAGTTTGATTTATATGTTGTAATGATATCATTAGAGACTTTAAATGAATACAGAAGAAAAAATATAAAAATATCAAAAAATCTTTGGTATACAAATGAAATGGAAGTTTTCTTAGCGAAGTCTTTTGTTGATCGGGTCCCCTGGTAGTACAAAACATACGGACAAACTGCCATTGTAATAGCAAGAGACGTTGTCACTGTCGACTATCGATTGTCTATTAGTTGAATGATGGTGAGAATACTGTTCGTAACTTACTACCAAACCTTCAGAAGATCGCATGTGTGTACCAGGTTGATTCCTCTACTGGGTATGGAGACTAAGGCATGTATATCAAATTTAAATGGGACTTGTGCAACTTTAATTTAAGCAAAGATGAAATGTGACGCTGTTTTTAGACACTCTGACGTTATCATCCGTGCGCCGTAAGGCAATACAATATATAACATAAAGTTAAACTCCATTATTTGTTTATTTATGCATATATCTGTTTGAATTTGCTATGTATATTCATAATATATGTACTAAAATGTACTATGGAATCATTTTTATTCGTGAGGGTCAATGTGCGTGAGAAGTCAAAAATTTCATGGTTCGTGGGGACGTTATTTCGTTGGTAACGAGTTCTATAAATTTCGTTTTTTCCCTCCAAAGGTAAAACAAAGAAGAATAACTCCTTCAATGTTGCTTATTAAAGTTATCTCTCTTGTGAACACAAAAATGTACCGGCAGCTTTCACCGACAAATCACAGCCGTGATGTCGCAGTAGATTATGATTATAAAGAACACCAGTGGTGCGCGTAACATGTTTTCAAATCTCTTATTAAATGAGAACGACGACAACAATGCCAAAATTGACTTAAAAGCGTCTACCCTGACACCAATTCATGCTAATTGGCTAATTAGCACCCACTCCAAAATCGCACTGAAAATTGACCTTATCAAAGGGACATTTGAGCGTGTTGAACTATAATGTAAACACTACTTAATTTTACTGTTGTATTTATCATTTTATTAATTATTGTATACAGTTATCAATGTCTTTGATACTTAATATTTTTTTTTTTTTTTTATTTGATCAATAACCACACACATATTGTTTTTTTATGCACGATCACACGGATACAACATGCACAAGGGTAACGGTTATTTTACCTTTAACAAATAATAAAACAAATGTATGTATGTACCTTCGTGGGGATGTAAATTCGTGGGTCAGGGTTACCCACGAAAGCCACCAACATTGGTCCCCCACGAACAATGATGATTCCACAGTAGTAAAAATTTCAAAACACAGTGATGATTAGTTTTCAAACTAGACAACTTGTCCACGATTTTACACAACCTTCGTACAATTTATCATTGAGTCAAATGCTGACTGACGTTTTTCATACTTATTGTTAGTCGATTATTTATATTCTGAATTGACGATGGATTTTCCCGTTATTTCCCGATCATGACAAAGAGAACACGGCGGGTGTGACCGGTCGGCAGGGAATGCTTTCTCCTCCATGTCACCTGATCCTACCTCTGATGTTTCGGAGGTCCATGTTTGCTCTGCTCCTATGTTGTATTGTTTTATGGACTTTGATATTGAATACTGTTCGTTATCTCCATATCCTACTTCTACGTACATTATTTACCAGGCGGGGTGGGGGTTGAATAGTCAATATTCTTGGCCCACTTTTCTACGTTACACTGGCTCCCTTCCAAATAAATTTCATTTGCATCTTTATTTAAGGAATACATATCTTATTTTTTGATTTCATAATGTGATCAATCGATTGGCTTGTGTGATAATTGGAATAAAAGTCGAAGGCGTTTAAGCATAAAATTATCAAGCAAACCAATCATGATCACTCATGAAATCGAAAAATCTGAGAGTTATTCCTTATTTTTACATGGTATTCATTCCGCTAATCCATGTGCTACAAGCCTTGCTTCTTGTCTCTATTTATCCCGCCATGCACGTGATTTTTTTAAACCGCGGATATCGATGATCCAGTACATTTATGGAGAAATAAAAATTACATTAACTATTTGTTATTTTATCTCAAACAAAGACATTTGAAATGTAAATATTAAATATTAAGAACAATTTTTTTTCTTTATTTCAGGGTTGATTGTTTTTATGATTTTCCTTCATGGTTGTTCAGCGGTCAATTTTTACAGGTAAATGGAAATGTTAGGTACTAAAGAAAAAGGTATTCGATTGATTGATAAATTGATTGTATGTTGTTTAACGCCTCATTTGAGAATTTTTCACTCATATGGAGATGTCACTGTATGCCGGTGAAGGGCTTTAAATTTATACCTATACTCGGCAATCAGGGCCACTGAGCGAAGAGTGTTCCTTATCGTTCAAACGCCTACCGCGGCAAGAGAACTACGTTTTTAAGTTCATATCCAAAAGACCCGTGTCTATCACTTCAAATGCCGAGCATTAGCGAAATAACAATTACTATCTAGTTTACGTCTTAGGTTTAACGCGGCGCTACGAACGAGAATAGAACCCGGGCTTCCCGATCACAAAGCGAACGTTATAAACCACTAGGCTACCGTGACCGCTTAAAAAGGCTTTCGATGATTTAAAGATAAATATGAAGTTCCAGGACAGGATTTAAAAAACATTTTCACGAGTGTAAAGTCTATCTCGCGAGTTAATAAACTCCTTATTTTTCTTTGAACATTAAATTTCATGTTTATTGTAAATTTTTATTTTCTAATTATTATTTTACTTTTGCTTTTATCTTTCCGATATACACAATGTCATGGAATTTGATGTCATGGCTAGCGGCTCGACATTAGAACGGCATTGTTTGACATCTCAATAACATCATGTCTTTTTACTCCTTCCTGAATGAGTTTGCAGTTAACTTGAAGCATCCAAAATGTTTTAAACGAAGGTCATGTGAGATACATCAAATTTTTATTAGTTAAATTACAAAAAACGATATTTTTTCTTCTAATTGCTCTTACCCCGTCAACACATACCCGGCATGCCGAAATATTCTGGAAAAATGATTTTCCTACTTAGTACCCGACAATCCAATAATTTTGCCTTAAGTTGGGAGAAGGCAACCAAACATTATTTTTCAGATGATCTTATATATACATAATTTGAATGAATTACTACATAATCACTTATTCTCTTGGGGATTTATGTGCCTATGCATTACATTTTGAAAAAGAAAAAAAATAGCTTTAAATGTATATTTTTTAACTTTGAAGAAAGGTTTGCCTGGAAACTCCATTTGATTTTGCATGGGGAAAAAAAGCTTGTCGATTTACATTAGAAGACGCGAAAAGATTGCTTATACCAGGTAATTCAATTAATTTAAAGAATACAGTCAAGACGAGCATAAGAAAAATCTAAGAAATGTGTATGAAATGTTTGTTTTTATACTTTTCAGAATTATCAAATAAAAAGTATCATTACTATTTGTCCAGTGAAACTTTATGATGGATTAATTTTATTCATTTGATCTCTCAATTCAATCAGTTTTATTTGGTAAAACAGAATATACATCACAAGATTTTGAATTTACATCACAAGATATTGAACATACATCAAGATATTGAATATATCTCACAAGATTTTGAATATACATCAGAAGATTTTGAACATACATCACAAGATTATCGAATAAAGCAACGTTTTACACGCAATACATTTGCACCTTAGCAATATACATGTAGTAGTCTCAGTGCAACATTATCAAATATATAAAACTTGAAATAAAAGAAAAAACATATAAGAATACAATGTATATAAACTTTAATTGCGAGGGTATTTGGACAAAAGAAAAGCATAATGTTGCATTTTCCCTAAAGTAAACTGACACTTCTCTTTCTGACAAATGATATAAATAAAAATCCTTAAACTGGAAAAGCCAGTCGCTCAAATGTTGGACATACACATGTATCTATAACTCATCTTTTAACCGATTGTTTCTTAACTTTTCATTAACAGGTGACTGTTTACAAAAATGTGAAGTAAAGATCAATGGGTTATATGGAAATGAGTACGAACTGGAATCCTTGGTCCTTAGTTTCAATGGTTTTGGAAAGAATACGAAGACAATAAACATGTATTGCAGCAATGAATATATAACGAAAAGTTTGAAAATTAACTGCAGAACGGGCTTCGTAAATGGTAAGTCAGTCTACATCAAATTATTTATTTATTCATAAAATTCATTTAAAAACCAATCCATATTCATGAAAAAGGAAGTTTCAAGATTTTTAAGAGAACTTGTTCAAAAAAAGTTTATGTGACGTTTTCAATGGATCACATGTGTAAGTACAAGCTTAACAACTTAACAATTTAATTAAGAGAATTTGTGCCCCCCCCCCCCCCCCCAACTGAAAGCGATTATAATTAACGAGGATTTGAATAATTGAAAAGCATTCAGTAATACGATGAGTTTATGAATATATCTATACATCGAAAGTAAATGGTGTATATAACCTTTAAAAAATGTCGATTAATGACCAGCTGTAATCAATTACAGTTTGCCAAGCAATCATATGTAATCAGTAATCACCCATTATTCTGATTACAAGAAATCGTGATTAAATCAATTACTCTGAAAAAGTCCTGTAATCATGATTACTTTCTTGATTACTTTATGATTACAATTATTTCAACAAAGTTCATAAAATCATGATTTTTAATGATATTCAGTGAATATTTTTCAGTGTACAAGTTTGCTTATAAGCAAAAGTCATTATAGAACTATAAGCTATATTAAGTTAGCTAATGCTTCCTGAAATGCTTAGTATAACCAGGACCATTAATGAAAAATTGTCAAGGCAATGAGTAAATTCTATCCGTTCCTAGCTATATTCAGTAGTCATTTCAAGATACTTAATCAGCTTAGCAATTCGTAATTTTTGACCAGATTTATGTATATACTTAAAGAAAATCATACAGCATCTTTTTAAAGTTTGATTTCTTTTGGTTTCAATTAATAAACGCGTGTGTAATGCAACGTTTGTTTTTCCCGATCAATCTTTGAAAAAAAAATGTATTTTTAAGATATCAAATGTTCCTATAATGCTCCTATCATGAAAAGCTCTTTGTTTGATTTACAATGTACATAAAAAGATAATGTGAACTAATTAGAGATAAAACAGGCATACATAAGTTTGGTTAGCTTGGATAAGGCTCATCAAGAAGGTCAATAACTTGTGTAACTGTTTTTATGAAATCCTAATATCCCTTACTATAATCATGTCCAGTTTTATTTATAAATAATAATAATTAATTCTTTTTTCTCTCACTCTCAACAATAACACAGGATATTTGCTTGTATTAAAGATAGAAATCAGATGGTTTAACCATCTCATGCATCTTTGAAAAAGGCACGTACAACCAAACTTTGTCTGAATTCTACCTTATAAACATTAATAAATGATATTTAAGAAAAAGAATGAAAACAAGCCTTTCTCCTTTAACATTCAACAAAATTATTAAAACTTAATGTAATCTAAAGTACTCATAGGTAACCATGATAACATGAAGGAAAAGTAATAAGATGTAATTAATTACTTAAAAAAAATGTCTGTTATCAGCTTGTAATCGATTACTTTTAAAATCCAAATTAATTGTAATTTAATCGATTACTTTTGAAAGTAATCGACCCCATCCCTGTAAATGACTATGGTTATTTCTTTCAATATATAAAGTAAAATGTTTTACCTACGTCGATACGATATATCCTGGTGAGCTTGAGATAAAAGATACCACAGAGTTCGACACTTCTGCTTCATACTTAGATATTTTTCTTGAAAAAGACAATAATGGTTATCTAACAACAAAACTATATGATAAACGTGATGGCTTTAACTTTTCTATCGTCAACTTCCCTTTCTTGTGCAGCAATATACCTTCATCACCTGCATACGGAGTATATATATCTCAGTTGATTTTATGCGCAAGAGCATGCTTTACGTATGAACAATTTCTAAAACGAGGTAAATTATTGACAAGCAACTTGATGAAACAAGAATATCAGCAGTTTCGTTTAAAGACATCATTTCGTAAGTTCTATGGTCGATACAATGACCTTGTCAGCAAATACAATTTATCACTGAGTCAAATGCTGAACTGACTTTTTTCATATCAATTGTTAGTCCATTATTTATACACTGAATTGACGAATTTTTCCGTTATTTCCTGATCATGATAAGAAGCACATGGCGGGTGTGACCGGTCAGCAGGGGATGCTCACTCCTCCATGGCACCTGATCCCACCTCTGATGTTTCGGGGGTTCATGTTTGCTCTGCTCTTATTTTGTATTGTTTTATGGACTTTGAGATTGAATACTGTTCGTTATCTCCATATCCTTCTTACTTATTATAAGATTTTAAAAATGTGTGAATTGATCAATACATTTTAGTTGTCTTTCTTCATACATTCTTTTGTATTAAATACCTATATACCTTTTACGTCTGCATTGTTGTCGGAAGTATTTCAAAAGTTGGAGGGTAATTGAAGCAAATTAAAAGTGGGGGAGGTGCTTAAATCAGAAATTTATTATATATTAAAAAGAGATAAAATCAAACCTGATAAGAACTTGCCAAGAAAAAAAGGAAAATTAAAAATTGTCCAAACTCGAATTTCCCATTTCTTGGAAGGGGGAGGGGAATGTATAATTGAACCTCTTTCAGTACCATTTTTTCAAACAACACTTTTGAACTATCAGTACCAATTTTTCATTTACCTTATTGAAAGGGAGGGGGTTAAACCTACGCGCAAATGTTGATTGCCTATCTTATGTCTATCTTTGCAAAAAAGTGTGTGTATGGGAGGGGGGGGTAAGACTCTTGCCCCTCCCTCTTGATTCCGTAAGAATACCTAAACAATTATTAAAAAAAAAAATCAAAAATTTTAGTTATCCAAGTTTGTCTGAAATTCAAACTGATAAAGAAACGTGAATCCATTGTTTTAAACCCCTAAACAAAATAACATTAAGATAAACTTGACAAAAACAGCAAAGGTCTGAAAAGAGCAAAGAATTGCAAGTCGACAAAGACAGTTTTATATGGCAGTTTCTTTGAATATTAGTGGTCTTATTGTTCAAAATCTTAGTCGGGGAGGCAGTTCAATTGCTAAAGAAGTCTAGAAAGCATTTTTTTTGCAAAAAATTGAAAGGTTTATGAGAGGAATGAATAAGATAGAGGAATTCAAAATACAATAAATTTCCCCATTACAGTGTCAAAACCCACACTCCCTGAAAAGTAAATGTCTTTTGGGAATAAACAGAAAGTTAATGTTTTATCACACTAACAATATTCGCTTTTTCTGTCAACTTTCGACTTGATTCATTTTCAAAACTGGAAAAAAACACCTTTCAGGATATTATAGGATCTGCCATGTTCCAGTATACAAAGGGGTATATTAAAAAATAGTTCTAAAACAATCAAAAATTGCTTTACAATGTTACGGACGTGTTTTTATTAAAAGAGAATATCTAAGTTAAATCATTAAGACTAAATCATTGAAAAGCGTCCTTTGCTTCTTTCCGAACACCGAGGACAATATTTATTGAACAGCTCTCGTACGTGTTTTAATTTTATAAGACATATGGTTTAGGTCACATTGCAGATTATTTCTACCACATTTCAAAATTCAATGGTCAGCCAAGGCTATTTAAACATAATAATATGCATGGACCCTCAAAGTTTACCGTCAAAAATGCATGAAACTTGCATTCACCGATACTTGGGAATACGTGTAGACCTGTTGTATTGCCCACGAAGCGATCCTTTCAATCTTTGACACTATTAACTAATCTGTTACTAAAAGTAATTTTACTTGTATAATATAGATTTTTTACGAGGAGAAGACTACCTGAATTGTAAAACTTGTATCATATCTTTTTTTACTTTTTTAAGGTAAGTCACTCCTGAAATTTGTTATATCAAGGATTTTTTGAGAAGTATATTTTGGATAAGTACTCATAAAGTGTAACTCAAAATCGCAAAGAAAATAGGGGGTCAGTGTGCAGCCTACTGATCTACGATACATTTAAGTTGACCTTTTTGCACTTAAATTTCATCTCTTTGGTTAATTACTTTAACCCTTATTATATTTGATTAGATGTAAGCATGGCAATAAATATTATCTTATTTTACGTAAAATAATTTAAATAATATTTATCATTAAACAAATCTTCCAAATTAATGCGCGTAAATTATTGTGTGACCTTTTTGCACTAAAAAATAACGTATTTGGGGTATTAAAAAACTTAATAGGCAATAAAAAATTTTCTTATATCAAACTTTTTACGACTTGAGTGCTGATCAGTCACAAGTATCGAGTAGTTTGAAATAATGAAAGAAAAAGGTGGGGTCAGTGATGTTAATTTTGAAATATTTGTCAAAATATGTGATTTTCAGGCAAAAAATAGTGTAAATTTGACCTTGACTTCTTTAATATATTTTCATTTTTTGGAAAAGTTTGTTGAGGGAAGGTGTAAAACTTAGTCTAAAAATATAAATTAAGACCTATATTAAATATTTTTAGCAATATCAAAACGGAAAATATTCTCCGAGTAAAAGTATGTGAGGCTTAATTTCCATTACATTCAATTTTATAAATGTGCAGATTTGCAGAATTTTCTGCTAAATATCCTTCCACCAAAAGAAATAGTCTCTCATAAATCTTGCTTCTTTTTAGATTTTTGGGCAGTTTTTTCATTGAATGTTAAAAAATTTACATTGTTGAATTTAAATATGTTATAAAAATTGAATTTTAATAAGTAGTTTTGAAGTAAATGCTTCTGCGTGAACTTTTCTAAAAAGCTGACGAGTGACTTACCTTAATCAAATATAATCCTGATCAAATTCATGAATTCAATTCGAGCCTTTGTATTTGGAGAGGCAGTGCTGCGATAATTACCATTTATTTTTACACATTTATAAGGTTTAAAATTCTACTTTAACATTTATGATATAAAACCAGGCGCTGCTCCAGAGGGATGAATATTTTAAGGATTCATTCGACTAAAGTTAAATCAGGATATTCCAAATTTGTACAAATATTTTGGACAGTTACTTAACTTGCTACCGACTTCCACTCTGGTTAATTAATATAGCACATATAGAATAAATGTATATAATTTTGGGTGGGGTTTGACAGGGTTCCCCCTCCAAAATACCCCCACCTTTTTGAACGTAAATTTTTAGATTTAAATTAGACTAAAAATATTCATTGAAAGTCTAGTCCGCCACAATGGACTTTTAATCCACGACCCCTAACCCTCCATTAATCATGCCATGAAACAATCATAATTGTTTTGTAGTTAATGATACATTATATTGTATCAATTGCAGTGGATCATGCAGATATTTGTTTATTTCATTAAGCGTTAAGGCTGTTCTGCATTTTTGGACGCTTAATGATGTAATTCTATCCATAGGCGACGATTGAGCATTACATGTAGCGATTGAAAAGGTCAACCATTAATGTAATAATTTATGGCATTAAGCGTGAAAATTGCAACGCTGAATGATATGGATATCATTAAGCGGCTTTGTATCATTAGCGGTTGCTACACTGCTTATGGTGAGCAGAAATTTTAATGATGGCATATTTATGCTTCTCTGTGGATAAAACATGATTGTGACGTAAACCTTTTGTTTGTGTTGTCCATTCTCTAGCGTAATGTTGAGCTAACTCCCCTAACAATCCATTAAGTCACCTGTAGGTGTCCATTCTTTTTGGAAAACTGTCCATTCTTTTTAAGAATGGACATTTTTTTTCAAAAAGAATGGACAGTTAAAACAAACAGAATGGAGAGTTACAGGTAAACCTTGGCGTGTGCACAAAAAGGAAACAAAACAAATACATTAAATATGATTTAATGTACATGCAAATAACAAAATGAACTTGGAGATTTAAGTTAATCCTGAACACTGCATCAGATCTGTTTGATTTTTAACAAAACTTGAATTAAATGACACAATTTCACATTTTGGAAGCATCATTCCCTCGAGAAGAATTCATTTTAAGCTTGAAGTAGGCTAATATTAAATCCATCACCCCCAAAACAGCTTGCGCCATGAAAACTATACTCCCTGTGAATATTTCCGTAAAATTCAAACATTTCCAGATCTGATTTAAAATACATTTTCAAGTCGAAGTTTGGCTCATGGCCATCAAACACTCGGAACACAATTTGCATTTCACAAATACACTGCTGCAATTATTATATATCCCCAAAAACTGATTTAAAATTAAAAAAAATCCGGTTGGAATTCGAAATATCTGTATTTGTCGTCGAAGTTTTAAGGAGATCAAAATTTTGATAATATTTTCTTTTACGCTTCCTATTCTCTGTTTCCAGGTCAAAATATCACTTGTTTTGTGCATATTTTGTTTCAATTCGATTTCGATTCTGTCATGTATTCCGGATCTCCATAAAAGGGAAACTTGCTTGCCTTTACAACGCAAAATATAAACTGATTTTGAGGAGTTGCATTCTTATATAAATACTACCATCCCCCAAAAATCCACCTGTAACTGTCCATTCTTTAGACAAAGACCTTTTGTTATTTGAATCTGAATACATAATGGCTATTCAACAAATTGTTGTGCACCCCAAGCTTACCTATAACTGTCCATTCTGTAAACAATGAATTTATTGTATGTGTGCTACATGTCTTTCACATTTATCTTTAAATTTTTAGAACAAAGAGAATCATGTTTTAAGTAGGAGAAAGGCCTCAAACTGTCCATTCTGTGAGAGAAAGAACTAATCTCGGGCCTACGGCCCTCGATTAGTTCTTTCTCTCACAGAATGGACAGTTTTTGGCCTTTCTCCTTTACTGACAGATGATATCAGCTCGGAGTTTTCCCACTTAGCAAAAATAGGTGACTGGTTTTGACTAGGTGGAAATGGTGTGCAGGTAAGGGGAAGGAGACAGCAAAAGAAATTAATTACAGGTGACCTATAGTCTGTCTTAGATTACCCCAGAAATAAAAAAAAAAATATTCTAATGATGTAATAAATAGTTTATGAAATTTATGCTTGTAATTTATAAATGTAATTTAAAAAAAATTCTATATTTCTTATAATGAAGTATATGGAGATAACGAACAGTATTCAAGCTCAAAAGTCCGTTAAACAATACAAAATAAAAGGAGAGTAAACTTGGACCTCCGAAACATCAGAGGTATAGAATCAGGTGCTATGGAAGGTGAGCATCGTAACGGAAACATAGAGCACAAGCTTGCTTATTTGATATTTGATATTTTTTATACTTAAATAGCACCTGATATTAGTGTATGATATATATATAAAGGTAGATATGTAATATTGTGCTCTATGTTTTCTGAAACAAACTGTGCTACATCTATTAAGAATTATATAAAAAAAAATGCACAAAAATGCTGAAACTGACATGTTTTCTGAGCTTCCTGTGACCTCTGAATACCAAATCACTTCGAACTAATACTCATTCTGGGACAGGGATGACACTGCTTAATATTTATAAACAAGGGGCCAAATAGGGGTCTTAGCAGTTTCATTTAACATTAGCGCAAAATGTGGACATTTGTTTTTGCAAATGGCTATGATGTTAATTGATTTCGATGATATATGAGAAAGAACCATATGCATTATATGAACGGATTATGTTTCGATCACTAGACATTAAAAATGAGAAAATATAAATCTAAAGCAGCCTGAGAAGAGTAAGCAATATAAGGAAGAAACTATTTATTTGTGAATTTAAAATTTGGTACCCGTTCTTTAAAATAAAAACGGGAACAATATACAGAGGTAAAATACAAGACTTTAGAAAATTACAGGTTTCAGAACCTAAAAAATCTACTTATATGAAGAAAAACTAAAAAAAAATCTGTTTAACCCATACAAAAATTTGCTTTACTTCTCTGTTAACGCCTTTCTTTTACGCATGCGCCGACAATGCGAAAAATTTACTCCTGTATCAATTCCAAAAATTTAGATGTCTTTTGACCAAGAATTTTAAACAATCTTCAAGAAAGATGATCTGAACTTATTTCTTACATGTTTCACGTTGAAATCACCTCGACATTGTTGACATTTAGATAAAAAACTGAGCGATGGAAACAATATTTGTTCTTCGGCACTTGAGCAGTTAACTCGTTTAGCTGAGTTGTCAAAAATAAACTATTCATATTCAATATTTCTATGTTCTTATTTCACACTTTTTGTAATTTGATACAATAATTAAAAAACCCCCAAAATTTTACTCGTAACGTAAATTTGAAATTTGAATTCAAAATCTGTAATCCACAAATTCAAAAATTCTGCCGTACATTTATATTCTCTAAGTAGAAATGACTTCATATTATTTGTTACTATAGCTAGTGTTATGAGCAGTGCATTTTGTTATTTTTGCAGAAGACCTCTCACAGGATTTGTGTACATCAACTAAGGGGTGTGGTGATGGATCAAAAATATGTTCGGGATTGCAAACTGAACAAATAGGCGTTTGTCTATGCCCATCTGAATATTTAGGAATCGGAAACAAATGTTTTAAGAGTAGATTATATTACATTCTTTGCTAACAATATAAAAATTAACATACTGAATTTTTTTTTCATAAATCAAGTCATGTATTTTAGGATTTTATGAATTTAAAAAAATATGTTCTTGCTTGTTAGGAAACTTGAAACTGAACGACACATGCCACCATAATGAACAGTGTACTGAGATACCCGGTTCTGTTTGTGAGAACGATACTTGTGCCTGTAAGCCTGGATATTCCCCACTGAATGATTCCGAATGCAGGTTATGTAAGTCAATATACTTTTACTTAGAATTTTAGATTTTGAATTCTTAAAAGAAAAATAAGATAAAGCGAGTCAGTAAATAATTACAAAATATATTGCTTACAGTACTTTCAGATGGTTATACTGAAGCAAGTATTGGAGTCCAAAAAGGTATTTATTTGAAATGATTCAATATTTGATATCCTTCTGCCTTCTGGCGAACCTTTTGATGTGTATATACATGTATTTCAGTGAACTTTTGTCTGTCTTCTAAGTGTAAATGTAAATAAAGGTTGAAAATCAAGTGAATTTATAATTTAAAAAAGAGAATGTAAAAGCTAATGTATTTTTTTGGATGCAGTGGAGGAATATATACATGTATATGGTAATTATAACTATTCATACAAGAAATGCAAATCGACATAAGAAACTTGCAAGGTTATGCACTGAATATAGCGTTAGTTATAACATTTTTTGTTGGAATGTTACAAAGTGCACACTGAGCAGCATGTTATTGAATGTTTGTTGTTTTTACTTGTAATTGCAAATCCAATCCATATTGTTTTTAAGTATGATAATAAACAAAGATGTAATTAAAATCAATCAGTTAATTTTCTTTATGAATGCATGGAACAACTTCCTCTGCTATTTAAACATCCACACAAATCTGTTTTCTGACCATGTTGACCAACTCCAGTTTCATCAACTGCAACATTGCATTCAATATGGCAGCTGAGAAGTGACATAGGGCCTATATAGTGTTCGTGCTTCCGAAAGCTTAAATTTAGGTCATATATACTGTATAATTTTAATTAAAGGTAGACTTTTGAGCAGCGCATTCATTTCATAGCAGATTTTGAGAGTTTGAAGCAACCAGCTTTGCAAACACGGTGCGCTCTTGGATATAGAGTTAGAATTCCAGGAGCAATGAGTATCGAACAAGATCAACATACATGTACATATAGTATAGGGAATTTGAAAAAAAAACATAATTATGAAATTCTTTATATATTTTTGACGAAATAACAGTGGACACCTTGTAATCTGGTTCAGTTTTTATATTGTAGAAAATAACGCAGCCAGTGTGATAGTTGGGTCCATTTTTGGTGGCCTTATCCTAGGAGTTATATTAACTGTTCTTACAGTTAACATCTATCAAAACATACGATACGGAAAAACTAAAACTGAAGAAAAGTATGAAACATTTCAGTGCCATAAGCTATGTTGGTAATTTGATTATTGTATTCATTGCTGACATGTATTATCAACATTTAGAATCAATTTGCATTCTTCAACCTTTTTTTTATTTAGAGAATGCCGAGAGATTGCTGTTTTTAACAACACTACTTATGAGACTGAAACAGATGCATCTCTCAGAATCCCTGCCGTTCATCGAACTAATGACTCAGAGGTTAGAAAAAAAATGATTTGTTGTTGAAAAAAAAGTTCTTAGTTGTTATCTTTCCTCCGCGACATTTGAGTGAAAAATTGTCGAGAAGGACGTTAAACATACAATAAATCAACAACCTCCACGATAAATTCGGTGATTTTAATAGCTTAAATTTGTTAGAAATTGATATTTTGAAACATAAATAACAATACAGTAAAATTCTTTTAGTACGAAAACGGAATTTTGCAAATTTACGGATATAGCGAATTCATCTTGGATCCAGCTAAATGAATTTAATGAATTTCTTATACGGCGATAACGAACTAAGGATATAGCGAAGTAATTTCAAAGGTCCCAATGACTTCGTTATAACCGAGTATTGCTGTTAATGCATAACCAGCATCGAATATACATTAACTTGCACATGTGGTTTTATAAACCTGTACTATCCTTTAGATACAGTTGATAATTTTCATAATTTGTAAGCTAGCAACGAAAATTTGGCATGAATGTATTATGCTGTGACTGAAACAACAATTTCATGAAGACGTATATATTTTACTCTGGAATCATCATTATTTTTTTGGGAGCCAATGTTCGTGGATTTCGGGGATGGCCCTTACCCACGAATTTAAATGGAAATCGTATTCACAAGTAACCCACGAAATCACATCCCCACGAACAGGTACAGTGTAAGATTGTGCTTTCCTACGAACATTGACCCCAACAAGTTAAAATGATTTCACGAAGTATATATCAATATTCTCAGATTTAACACTTGAAATTCCTTACCGTAGACATCAACATATGTGAACAGTAAATTAAACAGTTAAATGTTAAATATTTTGATATTTACTTTACCAACATATTAAAGTATTTAACAAACTGCTCTAGATGTTACCACATCCTCACTGCATCTATCTCCAATAATCTGTAATCACTTGAATAAGTACTGGGTATAAATTAGTAAGTGAAATACAGAATGTAATAAACTCAAAACATAACATATTGGGTTGTGTGGGAGGGAAATTTAATCATCTCAGTTAGCTTTAACTCAATATATATCATGTATACTAGATGAATCTCATGCAACAACATATTTAACTTTCATTATAATGCTAAAGGCAATGATCAAATTACAGAATCTCTCCGCTAGGGGTCACTGATGATGTTATCTGGGACCGCGTTGAGACTGTTTTATCATCACAAACAAATCAAGCAGTCTTGGCGAAAGCAGCCTCATTCGCAGGGGAGGCGTTGTTCACAAAACAGGCCCGTACCTTGAATATTTAGATACACAAATTCCGTTCTAAAACATAAAAAATAATAGAAGGAAATGGATAAAAAAGAGTTTCTCAATCACTGAGAGATGAATACCTACTTTGACAGATATAAACCTATCCTTGGACGAAAATATACAAATTTACTAACTATGAAATGACAGATAAATGTTTTTTTAAAGTCCACTTTTTGTTTATTCTGAGGTGATTTTTCTGGTTTTGTTCTGATAGATAGATTAATGTGTTGTTTTTTTTTTCAAAACACTACCATAGCGCTTAGCAGAAGAAGGCAATTTTGTTTGGATTATTAAACATATAAAAAAAAATTAAAACTTTCATTGAATGTGGAATTTTAATTCTTAAAAAATTAACAAAATGAATGATTATTAAACAAAAATTGTACATTGCAGAGAAAGGTTGTAAATGTGCCACCATTTGCTCATTCTGTTGAATTTCGAACACCAAAGAACGTGCAAGAAACCAATAAGAGTTTGATGGCGAATAGAGACGTGAACGTTGATGTTTACAATCACCTGCATGAAAAAGAGGATTGCAATGAAGAAAACTATGACCACCTCCGTGGAAACCTTGATCATGAGAATGAAGAGAGTGACTACAGCAATCTCCATGCGGGGGGAAGATATATGGAACTCGATGTTTCCGCATCTGTTAATGACGATTATTGTTCACTGAAAAAGCAGTAAAGGAAGAAATTTTTCTGAATCAAAGAACCTTTTGTACTATTTTTTAAAATCTTTTATTTCACATTTCCCATGAATACCCATTTACAGTTAACCCGGGTATTTAGGAAACCAACATAAAAACAACAAAAAAAAAAACAAACTACAAAATATAAGATATAACAAATTTGTTAAAAGTTTAACTTGGTTTTTAACATCTATGTTTTTGACATATTTATTATGAAATCTATATCTTTTTCTGACGAACCTTTAATGCTTTTTTCTAATATGGACTTTTCTTGTTTTATATATAATTCATATGAATTTATTGCTATAATTTTCTGATGCCTTTCAGTGATAGATGCATAAAATAATAATGTCTTGATACAATCAAAATGAAAAGATGCATCTATGTATTGTAAAAAATCTTCCCAGCATTTTACATGAGAATTTCTTTCATAAAGGTTTTATATCATTCATTTATCTGTATGATGGATTCTGACTTAAGTGATGACAGAGACAAAAATGCCAGCTGTAGACAGTTTTCCTTTGGCGATTACATTAACAATCTTTATCTTTGACATATTTGACTGTAATGTTTTAATAAGAAGAAAAAGTCTTTGTAACTTTAAAACTCATATTAGAATTTATATCAGTGGTAAATATGATTTGTAAATTTTCTACTTCTTGCGCTTAACACAACAGTGCTATATGCTTCATTGTTTTATAGTTAACTTTGCTGTTATGTACATATGTTAACAATTTCAGTCAAATGCTCATTAGAGTTTGAGTTATTTTAAACTTCCAAACGTCCATAAAATACATATCGCAATAATGCTTTACACTAAAACTCATTGTCAAAGCATATGTACAATTGATATACCTGTATTTGAATAAATGAAAATTTCTTATGATATAAGATTTTAAATACATATTTATTTGAAGCTAAAATTCAGTCAAGAAATCTATATAATAAACATCGCAGTTTACATTAATTTATAACTTTAAAAGACAAGCTTAATCTAAACATTTTTTCTATTCCTTGACATCGATTAAATTATTTCATTCCACTTTGTATGACCACGAATGTCTTTGCAATTCTGATTGAAAAGTTAAAAGAAAAATATTTTGATCTTCTTCATTGTAGAAGGTTATATAAATCGGCATAACTAAAGGCTTTTGTAGTTGAGATACATTTTCTTCAAAATTAAGTTTTTTAAGCTCGACTTATAACATTCACGAATTCTAGAAAATATAATGCGAATAAATATCACAAAAGGTTTCACAAGTATACAAAAATAATATTTATTGATAATATTCTTTAAAGGCGTCTGATGTTGAAAGTTGGATTTACTAATGAAGCGTATACTGTTACAGCACTTAGAGCTCCTTGGGTGGCCCGTGCCTCGCACACTGACCTCGGACGTAAACGGTGTTCTACCATCTTGCTAATACAGTCATATGACCTTATTTAAAATCCGTCTAAATATAATACCTTTGAAACCTGATTTACTTTGTGGCACGCCTAACACTATGCCTTTGCTCTCAAAGTCTACTAACATAAGTTTGTAATCAAAACCAATTTACAAGAAAGAAGTCGACAAGTAAAAAGAAAACTTTTTGAAAAACTTTACGCAGAGCAAAATATAAAGATCTGTTACAAGGCAGTCTCCGGCTTCTGCTTCTTCTTCATGTTACAATAAATCTATGGATGGTTTTTCCTTAAACTTTCATATGAATTGTTTTAAAGCTTTCAAAGGGACAGATGTTAAGTTTGATGAGGATGTAATGAGGACGTATATAAGTATATCATGTATTTATTTAAAAAAAAAACCTTTTATTATATATCTTCCTGATAAATAGTCATTTTAAAAATACGTACAAGGAAAAAATGTTTTACCATTAGTTTTGTCTGCGCTTTCCTTGTTCATTCTTTTTGTTGGATCCCCTGCATCATCAAGTAAAGCTTTTAAATTGTTTTTTATCGGGCCATTAGGATCTCGGGGACCAACAAAATATGATGATAAAAAGCCATACATGTAAGTGAAACAACGAAAGTATAAAATTATAAACATGTGACAGTTATAATAGAACATAACTTGATAAGAACTGATTTTTAACCGATTTAAATACTAAGAGATTGTGTAAATGCCCTATGTATGTACTTAAATCCTTACTGATATCTGGCTCCGGGATCATGAAACAGTCTTAAATTTAAGTCAGAATTCTGTCTTAATTTTAAAATTTAGACTTAGCTAAGATCGCGTACTTAAGTGGATCACAAAACGATCTTAGCAAAAACTTAGTTAAGATTTGACTTAGCAAAAAACTTACCATAAAATCTTATTTGTCATAGTAACGAGGAACTCTTCAGTATAAAGGTAGAAAAGCCATTTGTATAGTCAGAGATAAATAAACGTCTCTTTATCATGTTTATATAAAAAATAATACATTGTGTAGTGTGTACCACGTTTGAAGGGACATGGCACAACACCACTTCGCACAAAACTTAGATCCGCCACTGCAAGGAACTCTTCAATGCGTGAAGGTACAAAACTTTATCGTCTGCTTACATTGAAAACAGACTTAAGATCAATCTTAAAAGCTTAAGACTGCCTATAAGCAGTCTTAAAATTTAAGACAAAATTCCAGTCTTAACTCTAAGTCATTTTTTTGTGATCCACTTTAAGATCAATCTTAAATTTTAAGTGCAAATTTTTGGAGTTAAGTCTGACTTAAGACTTAAGACAGTTTCATGATCCCAGAGCCTGGAATCCTTCTTAATGTAAAATCTTGTCATTTTAGAATAGCGTACTTGACATGAAGTACATTGTATAGATTTAACTTGATTTGTCCATAAAAGCTTTCAATAATCTTAAAGGAATACTTTTTCAACCTTCACTGCAAAGTGCTGAACCGATGGCGATAAAATTGTTGCTACCCATTTTTTATCGACTTGTGTGAGTTGCAGCAACTAGATTGGAAAACACACAACATTCCGAACACGCAAGTGACGTTGACAGAGAAACAATAGATGAAGCAATCTTTGGTATATTAAAGCACTCATTTTGTACTTTTTGATTATAATACGGTGCAATTGTTATCTAAACGGCAATATATACCAATATTTTGTTTGTGAAATATTGTGATTTACAAAAAACCCTTCACGGTAATTCAGTCGGTAGAGTGTTCGCTCCATGATCCGAAGGTCGTGAGTTCGTATCTCAGCCGCGGCTGACCTAGTCAATAAAATGGGTAGCAATTGTTCCTTCGCCATGCACTCGGCACTTGATATGAAAGTTGTGGAACCTTCGGATGAAACCTTAAATCTGATCGAGGCCCCGTGTCAGCGGCAGGCGTTGGCATAAAGAATCCTCACTGCTCAATGGCCCTGAGTGCCGAGTACAGGTCAAAATTTGAAGCCCTTTACCTGTATGGCGTATCTACATGAGTAAAAAATTCTCGAATGGAACGTAAAAAATATACAATCAATTAAGAATACTTAGAACGAAAGAAGTTATATTGTATATTTATGCCCTCTACATGCAAGATAAATTATGTTAAGATGCATCATACGGTAAACCAACTTTTATTCGCGTGTGAGATATTTTGGCGATGATCCCGAGAGCTTCGTCATCGCGAATATTTATCGCCGGGAACTGGTCCTTAAGGTCTATGTGTATGTTAACAACAGATTCAAAAAGGCTTGATCGTGATAATTAATCGTCGTAAATTTCTTTAATCTGGCAAAATGCAAAATAATGTTGTTGCGAATAAAAGTTGGTTTACAGTATAATAACACATAATTTGTATGTTAATTTACCTACTAATACCAGTATCTGACATCGCGCATGCAAGATCCAACATTTTTTTGTAGACAGGCACATTATTTATGTTAATATGCAAGATAAGTATCTATACATGCAACTTACTTATGTGAAGATGCAAGATATTTATGTCATGATCAACATGCAGAATAATTTTAATTTTGTCAACGTGCAAGATAATTACGTTTACAAGCAAACAAGCAAGTGAATTATGACAACATACGAGATACGTATATTGACATGCAGCTTTTATTACATTGCATGTTAACATAAATTTTCGCATTTCTATATAATTACATTGTATGTTATAAGTTAAGATAAATAAGTTGCATGTTTACATAAACAAATAACATATAGTTACATACATCTCTTGCATGTTTCAAGAAATAAATATCTTGCATGATACAAGTAAAACAGTTATGATGCTTTTTGCATGTTTGATGTCAAATACTTACGTTAGTAAATAAAAGTATCCAAATTTAACGTTTTATTCTTCCAATAAAATTGAAAACTTGTATGTAGACAAAATTATTTTGCATGTTTAACTATTTAACTTGCATGTTGACATTTATTTTCTTAAACGTAGGGGTCAGAAATATGCCATCATATTTTCATGACTAATTGTGCCTTAAAATAGAATATCAGCCAGCATGATCATATTCTAAATTTTTTCAATGTTGAATTTCAGTTTCCCTAGATAATTTATGAAATTGATATGAAGAAAATATTTTTTGAAATGATCAAGTGGTTTTTGTGACATACATGTATTTAATGTAAAAAGAACTTTTAACAAACGGACACGCTTAATCAAACATTATAAACGATGGATGCCCCCTTGATACCAAAGATAATTGAAATAAGATTTTCAAAGAAAAAAAAATCCATTTTTATTGCATATCCAATATAGCCCAGAGTAATATCACAGCTCCTGGCAAAGGGACTATAATTTTCACATTTTTTGAAAGAAACAGCTTTGCTCATCATAACTATGCAGCTCGTAGGTTTCTAGGCTTGCAAATATAGTAAAATTCTCCGGCCGTTTGGAACTGTGTTTACTTTTGAGTAAACAACAAAAAAAAGGAAGAAAAGAAAAAAAAATAAGAATGGGCACACAAACATGGACATCCAAAACATCAAAGGCGAGATCAGGTGCCATGGGGGTAATGAGCATCTCCTGTGGACTGGTCATATCCACAGTGTGCTCCTTGCACTTGCCATGATCTGGAAATAAGTGAAAAATCCGTCGTCAATTCAGTGTATAAATAATGAACTAACAATAAGTATGAAAAAAGGTCATTCAGCATTTGACTAAATGATAAAATGTTGTATTTATTGACAAGGTTA